TTTGGGAAATGGGTATCTCGCAGGCACTCCGGTGAACAAACAAGCGTAGCGTCCAAGCGCTGATGCGCGCGGGGCACGCCTGATATTGGCGCTCCTGCTCCTGCTCCTTGAATGTCACCTGGCGGACGCCGACGCCCTTAGCCTCGAGGATGCTCTTCTTGGCGGCGAGGTTCTTGCACATCTCCAGTTTTTGACGCAGCTTGGAGAGCTTGGCAAGCTCGCGCTCGACCTTGCGTTCTAGGTGCCACATGACGCCGGTGGCGCCGGACTGGGGATTCCTTGCCCACACTTGGGCCTCGTATTTGATTGAACTCATCAAATCATCTCGTTTCTCCGGTAGAGTTGCTTGGACAAAACGGCGGATATTGCGGGTGCCGAAGAGGCGCTGCGCGTTGAGGAGCCGTACCTTCTCGTCCCCATGAAGTATGACGCGAGCAGGCACTCCAGCGAGCACCCCATCTTTTGCTCCCTGCAGGTGGCGCATCGCGGCCTCTGCTGCTGCGGCGGGAACGGAGGCGGCGGCAGTGGAGATGACTTGGGCGCAAGGGACGGATCGTCCACCATTGTCGCCGATGTCGACTGCGATTTGGGCAATTACGGGAGTGGCCGGCGGCGAGGGAATGGAAGGCAAGGTCAGCGGGTGTTGGTGTGGGCTCGCCGATGGCAAGGGGATGGAAAGAGAGGTCAGTGGGTGTGGGCGTGGGATCACCGGAAGTGAGGGGAGGGAAGGGGAGGTGAGAGAAGTCGAAGTCGGTGGGCGTGGGTGACTCGGCGTGGCCACGTGGGCTCGCCGGCTGAGGTGACCAGGGCAATTCATATACAAAGAGTGAAGAGCTCTCTCCGAGTTGACAAGTCAGACCACTTACGCCACCGACATGTGGGCCCAAGTTGTAGTGTTGTCCATGAAAATTTGTGCAGCTGGCTGTTCACCTTGTCTATTTCCACATGTCTCTCTCCCTATCCCTCAACATTTTCCAGCTTCTCGTCGCAATCGCAATTCACAACCACCTCCAAAATCACACGAACCCCAAGGCCAAAAGAGGTTTTTCCTTGTGTGCCATTAAGAAAGATGGTGTCTGCCTCTGTGCGACTAAAAAGTTCGAGCCTCCCTCTCTACCCACGTCAAACTTTATCGCGCCCTCCACACCATTCGGTTGCTATTTTGTTTGGGTTTAACCGTTTGGCAGCTCTGACATGTGGGCCTGGGCAGAAAAAATGTCGCTCTTGCCCTTTCAGTCGCTGGCATATTGGAGACCCCTGAGCGGGCCCTACCTACTGTACTCTCACCACTACTACAGAAATGGTTTTTCCGTACGATGGGGTGATTTGGTTCCATGCGGGTGACTTGTGTCCGTGCCTGCAAAAATCCCTGCCGGGGGGCGGGTCGACGAGCCGTATGCGAAGATGCATTATCGCATGCGACTGCTTAGATCGGCCGCATGCGAAGATCGATTTTCGCATGCAGCCGTCTTAAGTGACCACATGCGAAGATCGATTTTCGCATGTGGCTAGGCCGGCCGCATGCGCTAATGTTGATCTTTGCAGACGATTTCGCGCATGCGGGCCAGCCAACCGCATGTGGAGATAGATTCCAGCCGTCTGCAAAAACCTTTTCTGTAGTAGTGCACCTCTCTCTCTCTCCCTTCTTCCCGTCTTCCTCTCTCTCTCGTGAGCGCAATCAGGAGCGGCGGTGGCCGGCAGCCGGCGGCGGGCACGGCAAGGGCGCGGCGGGCGTGGCGAGGTTGTGTGGGCGTGTCGAAGGATCCCAATGGCACGCTCTTGACGTGGAGGGAAGCCGACAACGACCCCTGCGGCTGGTCCAGCGTCACCTGCACCGACGACGGCGACGGCAGGGTCGCCTGCCGGCGTGGTGCTCGCCAACTCCTCACTTGCGGGCTACCTCCCATCCGAGCTGTCATTGCCCAACAACCAGCTCGCCGACCAGATCCCGGTCGCCATCACAGCGTTGCAGAAGCTCGCGGCGCTCGCCTGGCTCACAACCTCCTCTCCGGCCAGATTTCGGCGGGGATTGGGCAGCGGTGGAGGTGTGGTTGGAGATCTCGGAGGAGGGGTCGAGCACGGTGATGCACATCGCTGCCTGCGAGGGGCATGCCGAGATCGTCGAGCTGCTGCTCCAGCGCGGGGTGGATGCTGTCGCTGCCGGCGAGATCGCCATGGCTGCTCGCTCGCTCGGTCGACGCCCGCCTCCCTGCCACGCAAGCCGCGCCCTCACCACGCCCGCCGCCGGCCACCGCCTGCCTCCCGGCCACTGCCGCTCCCGACTGCGCCCACAAGAGAGAGAGGAAGAGGGGAAAGAGAGAGAGAGAGAGGTGATAGAGTATGAGAGGTGGGAGAAGAGGCAGACAAGCACGCGACGCAAGCGAGACAGTGCAACGCAAGCAAGCAACAAGCAGCTAGCTAGCTAGCGCGCGCCGCGGCAATGGCGAGATCGTGGGCGAGGAGTACTGCGCCGCGGAGGAGCGGGTGCTCGATCACGGTGAGCAAGACCTCCCACTTCTCCCCCGGCGACGGCTTCGCGGCCTACGACCACCGCACCGGCCTTCAGGCAGTCGAGCTAAGGTCCATCTCACCACGCCGTGGGCGCCTGCGCACGGGGTCGGCGGGCCACGCGTCGGCCTCGTAAGCGACCTCGCCGGCCGGGCTGACCTCCTCCGCGCGCCACCAGGGACCGGAAGACCCCCGCGCGCCGACGAGGAGGCACGCGTACCGGTAGCGCACGGCGGGTGATCAGTCATCAACCAATATATATATATATATATAAGTATAATTGCCGCCGATCCAATTAAGCCGATGAGATCTCGATCGAGATTGGAATTTCGGCGCGCTGCGAGGCTAGGCTAGGCTGGTCGATCGATCGGCTCGCTCCGGTGGCACATGAGCAAAATACACAGAGAGATGCATGGAGCTCTGGCCGAAATATGCGGCCGCGTAAGGGCACCTGCGTTGGATTCCGAATAGGGCGACGACGTACGTACGGATCGTTCGAGTCTCGGATTCTCTCTTATTAATTCGTCTCGAGCTCTCCATCTCTCTCGTATCGTAGCAGTGGCCGGCATTGCAAAATCCACCGCAATATTGCAGTTGCAGTAACCCTGTTCACATGTTCCGTCCAGCTGCATACTATTACCAGCTAGCTAGATAAATCAACCTCTTCTTTCAATTTTGTTGCTATATCGTATATACGGAAGAACAGTTGATGCTATCGAGATCGATCGGCAGCAAATTGCTCGAGTCTTTTTTTTTTCTGAAACTAAATCGGCAGACAGTGGCTGCCAATTATATTTTTAATAAGCAGGAATAAAAACTCAAACGGGTTACGATAAAGAAAAAGCATCGTGCCGAGAAAGTATTGCCAAGCTCCCCAAAAATAAATACTACCGTTGTCGACCGAACAAATTCACAGCACGTACAACAACTCAACGCTACAACCCACTCATAGTAGACCACTGATGGAGCCCAAATGCAAGTCATCAGTGCCAAAGCTTGCACAAAAGCGATAGCAGGTCCGACTTTCATATTGAAAGCATGTCATCGTTGTTAAGCTTGCAAAAGCAAAGCACCTCCGACTTCACCACAAACTTGTATCGTTGTTGTCGAGCTCATCATAGAAACGACCAAGCAGCTCCGACTTCCCACGGCGGACATCAGCCAAAACCATCATATTACCACTTCCTGCTTATTGCTAGCACCAGCACACCTAGAAAGAGACTGCACCGTGTTACCGTTGCTGAGGTTCATCGCGCCTCAACAATAAAGCAACTTCGACACCACCTTGCAAACTGAAACAAAGGCATTGGCTGCCAGCCGCAAGCAAGAAGCGGATCCAGGAAAGCGAAGGCCTCGCCGAACATTTCGGGCCTATTTAGCGTTGGTGTGGAAGTAGAAATCCCTAGAGCTAACGCCAACTCCACGACCAGAGATGCGCATGAAAAGGTTCTCCAAACGGTACCCACAGCAGGGACGCGACGTGAATCGTCGCTGCCGTTCACCTGGAAACTGGGGCAAGGCTTTCACCTGGAGCACAATGGTGAAAGAATAAGAGGGAACACACCATAACGATGTCTCCAAGGAGAGGGACGGTGCCAAAGGGTGTCCCCATCGTCAAGCCGGCCAAAAGGCACGGCAAGACTTTCGCCTACAGTTCCCTGTCCGCTCCTACACACCTAACCAATCCGCACACACGACTGTTGCAAGAATGCCGCACTAGCCCTGACTAACCGACCCTCCGGCGAGCAAGAACCTCGGAGCTCCCCGCGGGCACGGCCTCACCGAAGGCGCAACTATCAAACCACCTCCACCACACACCAACACGCACGGTCCCCGAGAGCCGCCGACCTCACCAACGCCGTTCCCAGCCGTGAGGGCGATCTGGGTACCGGCGCCACATGACCACCACGGCTCCTTGCCCGACAACCGCCAGCCTCACCGTCGGCCGCACCGGCCAGCCGCGCCATCGCCCGCGTCTTCTGCCGCCATTAGCTCGCTGACCAGATCCGGCGGCGACGGGTCGGTTCCAGCCGCAAGGGAGGGGCCGAGTGGGGGGGGGGTTGGATCCGGTGGCGGCGAGGCGGGGGAGAGGAGGGGAGGGTTCGCCCGCACCTGGCTACGACGATAGGTGCATTGTGATGGTTCAATTTGAAGATTGCCGACGCCCTAGTAATTTACTATTAATGCAATCTGGAGATAACCTACAATAAACTAAACTCTGAATTCAGGGGCTACTTGCTACTAATGCTGAAACAAGAGACTACTTTAACGACGCACTAGTAATCTATTTCCAAAACATAGGAGCCAAACTGTATTTCCAAAACCTAGGAGCCACACTGTTAATGCAATCTGGACATAAACCTACAATAAACTAAACTCTGATGAATTCAGAGGCTAATAATTGTAGCAGCACGTCTGAATTTAAGATTTTCTTCGTTGGCACAAGGCCGGCGAAGCATCAAGCATCTGATCTGATCAAAGCGCGGCCCTCCTCAGGCCGCTCCGTCGACGTCGCCGCAGCATCCATGGCAGAAGTAGTTAAGGGCTCGAGCTCGATCGAGTGCGTCGGGTGGCGGCGGCGGCGGCTGGGCGTATTGGCGGTGCCGCGCGAGCGCGCTCTGCGCGGTTGCGAGTTCGGCCTTCAGGCAGTCGAGCTCCCGCTCGAGGTCCATCACCACGCCGTGGGCGCCGCGCACGGGGTCGTCGGCCCGCGCGTCGGCCTCGTAGGCGACGGACACCGCGGCGTCGCGCCGTTTCCCCGGGTCCCCGCCGGCCGCCAGCAGGAAGCCGACGACGTTGCCGACGCCGAAGAGGCGGAACGCGTTCCGGAATAGCCGGCCGTCCGCTGGCTGGTCCCCGGCCGCCGGGAAGCAGCGCGCCAGCGGGCATCCCGTCGGGCACGCGCGCCCCAGGTGGGCGCACGCGGCGCACGCCGCCGGTGGGTCGTCGTCGTCGGCCACTGCGACCGGCGAGATGTCGGCGACGAACGGGCGCCAAGGTTGGGCCATGGAGATCGGCGGCGAGACGAGAGCTGGGTCTCCGTCGGATTGGTAAGTTGGGGCACCGGAACGGAGAGTTCGCGGCGAAATATGCGGCCGCGTGCACCTGCATGCGTCGGGATATATATACAGATAACACAGGACGTGCTTGAGGTGAATTTGGGCCAAATTAAATGGAGAAATTTAATGGGATCGATTTTTTTTTTTACACATACAAGGCCGCACCCGTTATTTGTATAACTTAGCTATATAGAATTTTTTTAAAAAAATGGTAAATTGATTGGGACAGGATTAATAAGTCCATTCTGGTGAAATTAAGATACATATGTTATCTTGATTTGGATATTTTTCAAACTACTAAATGATATATTTTGTGTGAAAATTATATATATGTATTAAAGTTGATTTAAAATATAAAATAAATCTAATTTTTAAGTTTATAGTAATTAAAACTAAATTAATGTTAATGGTTTTCTTGTTTTTTGTGCCCTAGCTTAATCTTTGTCTAATCAACTTCAAACGGGGTAAACATGAAGGATAAATTCAGTCTACAATGAAAGGAACAAAAATAATAAAACCAAGCAACAAAAATAATAATAGTACTGTGCATGCACACAAATAGAATTTATTTTTTAATGTCGATTAAATTTTTATTTGTTGTTTTTATGTAGATTAAATTTATATTAATTTGCATGTTTGTATAATAGTGATTTTGGATCTGTCATAATTTATATCAGCATTGCGTAATGTTGATGTGGATCGGAGTAGAGTTAGCGCAAAACTCTCACAACCCTAATACCCTAAAATAAAACAAAAATCCGTACAACATCAAAATTCTGCCTCTATATTTTACGCTACATAAGACTTGCCATTAACCTGAGTCAAGTTATTCACTGTTTCAGTGTTTCATCCCCAATCGGCCGGTACTTTTACATATTTTCCCATTATAAAGGGTAATTATAAGCTGTGTTTCCTTGATGGCGTCAACAACGGTCAGCACTCCTCCACTGCTCCACAAGGAGTCAAGCAACGCAAGGACCGCAACCTGCATTCGGTGAATACTGATCAGCAATATATGTCGGCCTTATTCATTATTATTATTTGTTCAACTTTTTTTTTAAAAAAATATTTTTTTCAAAAAACTTTGTTCTACTGTATTTTAACCACTTATTTTAAGCTATTTATTAATTATATTATATATCAATATTTAGTTTATGATATACTTAATAATCTAAACCAAACATGTTGTCAATAACAAAGTATAAAGAATAAAGAAAAATGTGGAACTATGCGGGAATTAACACACAACTTTGGTGCGACAAGCCAACAAATAAAAAAATGAAGGTACAAAACTAAACATTAGAGATATGAAACCATTTTTTTTCTTGAATAATTTGGACACCACTGCATAACAATTATCATTACAAATTTTCCTAAAAGAAAGGGATCAGAGGCGGCTGTGGCAATTCGGCTGGCTAAACCGATCGAGTAGACTGGTGTTTGCTAATTACGCGTGGGTCTACAAAAGTAACTTAAAATTTCACCACAATTATTGTTTAGAACATAGATTTTGAGCATATATATGAAAATAATAAATTTGATTTGTTAAAATAAAAAAATTTTACTTATTTTGGATTTATGTAAAAGGATTTTAGGTGGTCAAGCTTGTTGACTTAAAAAAAAGTCTAAAGACGACCGCTTTTATGACTAGCAAGAGAGCAAGTGTGTTACTAATAAAGGATATTCTCGTTTGAAAATATAGACTTTGACATAAGAGATGACCCGTGAACTATCCGGTGACTACTTTTTTTTCTCCAAAACATAGATTCGGTCCGGCGACTACTCTTTTTTTGTCAGAACATGGATCCGGCGACGACTACTTATTTTTTTTAAAAAAAAACATAGAGCTATCTTGCTAAATCAAAGATGTTGTAGCAGTCTAATAAAAAAATAGAAGGCTAATCACATACAAATGGGGCAAATATGCAGCAGTTGAGACCGGTCGTGACAATCTCATCTATCGCGGAAGCTTATCGACGAGGTATGGTCGACGTTGCCTTCTTCCTTGACGTTGGCAGGAGGCGCATGTCCGTCCCCATGGCGTTCCGGCGCCGTCGACGTCGCCGCAGCAGCATCTACGGCGGGTGGATCAACGAGGTAATCATCTTCAACCGTCTCGTCGTCGCAGTGGCCATCTTGTAGCATCATCGTCGGCGGTGGCGGCGGCAGAAACAGCAGCTGCTGCTGCCCCTGTGGCGGTGGCGGCGGCGAGGGGAGGAAGCCCCCATTGGAGGCGACGGCGACGGGCGGCTGCTGTTGCTGCTGGGCCGCGGCACGGCGATGGAGCTCGATCAGCCCCTTCACCGCGTCGAGCTCGGCCTTCAAGCGGGCGAGCTCCTGGCTGAGGCCCTTGACGATGCCGGCGGCGCCGCCGAGGGGGTCGATCACCCACGCGTCGGACTCGTAGACGACCGACTTCATGGCGTCGTCGCGCAGCTCCTCCGACGCCGAGGCCATGACCCTGAGGATGTTCTTGATGCCGAACAGGCGGTGCGCGTTCCGGAACCGCGCCGGCTGGTTGGCCGGGAAGTAGCGCGCCAGCCGGCACTCCGGCGTGCACCTCCGCCTCTGGTGTTTGCACGCGGCGCACGCCTGCGGGTGCGGCGGTGGAGGCGGCGGCGGCGGCGGCTGAGGTGGGGGCGTGGTGCTGGTGTTGGAGGTGGGGGAGGAGTGTCCGGACGAGGACGGCCCGGCCTCCTCGTCGCCCATGGCAATCGCCCCGTGTGTCGCGGTGGATATTTGATGAGGACGCGGCTGCGGCGGCGTAGGGTTGGTTGCATGCCTTCCGATTTGCACGGGATGTTTTTGGTTAGTGATCAAACGGCCGGAGAGCGAGATACGCCGTCGCAACGACGAACCCTAGCTAGCTAGAGTTCAGTGTTTTGGGCCTTTAGCCCGTAGGCTCTTGAACGAAACAGAGGTTGGAGATGGCGTATAGGTATAGTTGGCCATAAGGCCCGAGGCCCGAAGGCCCAGCCCATGGCACGCCTTTTTGGCCCGGCCCAAGCACGGCACGGCCCGACTTGGGTCGGGCCCGTGCTGGCCCGGCCCGACCGTCGGGCCGTGCCTGGGCCTCCCCACCGGCACGCTGGGCTGGCCCGGCACGATGGGCCGACAGGCCAGGCCCGGTACATAAAGTATAGGGACTAAAAATAGACATATAAATGTAACAGTCTAAAGAATAGGGACCTTAAATAGACTTATTTTAGCTATTTATATACCCCAGCCCAAAGAAGAGGGAGGTAAAATAGACTTTTTGTAGCTGTACATATGTCACAGCCCAATAGGAGGGAGGAAATTTAGACTTATTCTGAGGAAAAGCACGACGGCCCATCGTGCCTTCGGGCCGGCTCGGCAAGGCCCGAGGCGTGTTGGGCCGTGCCTGGGCCGTGAGTGCGGCACGTGGGCTGGCACGGCACGGCCCGGTGCGTCGGTCGGGCCGTGCCGGCCCGACAAGCCTCGGCCCAGGCACGGCCGGGCCTGGGCCGTGCCGTGCCGTGCCGGGCGGCCCACATGGCCAACTATACGTATAGGCTCATTCTTGAATGAAGTCTCTTTATTATCTTATTATGGCTAAAGTATCGTGAATGCCCGAATTATAAATCGGGGCAGCCTAGGCTGGGGCGCCCGATCAATTCGGAGTAAAATCGGGCGCTGACGTTAGCGTCCGATTTACGTGCAAAACTATTTTAAACTGATTTTTCTCTTAAATTACTTATCAAAATCATAATCCGATTGTACCATTAAATTCGTTATAATTAAATCTTCAAAACAAGACCATATATGGATATATTCCGATGAAAAAAAATATTAGCTTATTATTGAATTATTTTTTAGTGTTGTACGATGTTCCACTAGTTATATCGGAATTGTTTCACTAAGTAGATCGAAAATATTTCACTCGTTTAAATCAGGTGTTGTTTCACCTTATATAAAAACAATGTTTCGGCAAATAGCGAAAGAATGTTTCAGTTCACTGCAACATTTGATCCACACATAGTGAAACATTTTTCGGTGGAACAAAAAATAAAACGAATTCCCTTAATAGAGGGTTTCCAAAATATGTTGGTTTTTTTGTTGCAATGGAATATTTCAGTTCACTGCAACATTAAATCTATACATAGTGAAACATTGTGAGTGCACTAGGTGAAACATTTTTTGTGGAACAAAAATAAACCAAATTTACTTAATAGAGAGTTTCCAAAATATGTGGTTGATTTGTTGCAGGGGACCGGCACTGTTGTAACATACCGAAAATTAACCATTTTCTAACTCTGCACCATGCTGAGTCTTATGTTCTTAATAACTTCTTAAACCTAGGAAAATATAATTAGAGGGACCTTCTAAAACTAACTTGCATAAAATCCTTCTCTGGTATTCAATTTCTTTTGTGTTTTTCATTTAAAAATATATTTGGTTAAATTGAGGTATTTCTTGATTTGGTTTTAATTTAAAACCTTCCTTCGACTAAAATTCTTTTATTCAAATTTAGTTTCAAAACCCTTACTATTTTTTATGGATTATGATCCAAGAAACCTTCCCAATTTTGCCATTGAACCTAAACCAAAGTAATTCTAATTTTATCGGGATTATTTGTTAGCCCATCCTTTGACCTTAAACATATCCTTTGATTCTTGATCCAAATTCTTCCTTTTGATCTAGCCGGTGATCTAATTTCTGTGGCTTGATTTCCTTCTCGGCACAAGAATAATATTATTACAAACATTGTGAATAATTGCTCTTGTGCTAAGATAATATATTATATCCTTGTCATCCAAATCTTCTTTAAATTCAAATTCTATCCAAATATCCTATTAGCCTCAGACAATTCTTTGAAACCCATGCCATATATTTTGAGGCTAAAAATCCTATCTATCTTCCTCCATTTATTTCCTCTCCCTCTCATTTGAGTGCATCAAATAAATTCCGTTATATTCTATCTCTCAAAATATTGCACTCAAACTAGAAAATATCTCTTTTGGAAATTATATCCAAATATAATTTCCTTTCAAAATTCCCTATTCAGATTCCTTCCAAATACTAATCTCATCCAATTTCTATCATACAAATAACCTACAAAATTTAGAATTGATTTCTAAATTTAATTGGGCTAAAATCCCTTTATCTCTTCCTTTTGGCCCATCTTCCTCTTCGGCCCAGCCCAGCCGAGCCGCCCCTTCCTCCTCCGTGGGCGCTTCCAGGCGCCGCCATGCGCCCGCTACTGCCGCCGTGCACAACTCAGCTACCGCCGCCGCCATATTGCCTTCGACGCCAAGCAATCGCCGCCAACGTCCTGTCGTCGCCGCTAAGGCATCGCCGCCGACGTCATCTGCCACCTCACGCCGCCGACGTCAGCCTCTGGAGCAAACCGACATCTCCAACCAATCACAAGCCACAGCCGGCGCCGTCGCCTTCCTTCTCCACGTCGCCGCCACCAAGACCAACTCCATCTTCTCCTCTACAACCGACCTTCACAACCGACGTCTGAGGCCTATAAATAGAAGGCCAGCCCTCCCCTTTTCTCCACATATGAGCCGAGCTCCTCGAGCTCTCTCTCTCCTGTTATGTCTAGCCACCACCGGCCACTGCCGATCTCCCTCACCGGAGTGTTTCTGGCCAAGCCCTTGCGCCATCGGGTTTGCCTCGACGAGGCGAACTCATTTTCCTAGTTTCCCCTTCCTTTCCCCTTCCGAAACCAACCATCACAGCCACCTCCTCTTGTTGCCGGAGCAAGCTCTTGCCTTCGCCGTTCCGGTCTCCTCCCTAACCCTCTCTACCGGAAACCACCCTCCCTGAGTGCGCGTTGCTCGGGAACGCGTGTTGCCGCCGGCGTCACAGTCTTCTATCCACCGGAGAGCCGGCGCCCCTCCTCTCCCTTCTCTCTGTTTGTTCGTGGAGAAAGAGAGAAGAAGCAGGAAAGAAGAAGAAGAAGAAAAAGAGAGAAAAAGAAAAAGTCTGACAGGTGGGCCCCTGTACAGTACTACTTTATATTTTCTAGATTTAACTTGAATCCTATTCTTTAGAAGCCCATATCTCCTAAACCGTAGATCTGATTCTAGTCAAACTTGGACCTAAATTCATCTAAATTCAAACCCTACCTTTTGATACCAAATTTGCTATTTAAATATTTTATTTGAATTTCCTTGATTTATTTAAATGTCATATGCTTTTCAAATATCTCCTTTTACTCCAAAATACCCTTTAGCCAGTAAAAAGCCGCCGGTTGGAACTTTACGCCTTTCATGGAGACGTTTGCGGTCTATCGGCCCCGATGTCGAACCGTTGGTCGTAAAGCCCGGCAAAACCCAAACCCAAGGTCAAAGTGCTGCTCCGGGTACCCCACGCCTCAATGCGTACAACTGTCGGAGCTTCACTATTCCCTCGACCTCCACAGCACGTCGCACAATTAGCTCTCGGGCTCTGTGTGATCTTAGCTGCTCAGCCGCCACTCACGGTTGTCGGAGTAACACTTCCGCCCCACTAAATTAACCTGCACCCACATCTTATTCCTCTAGCCGATATGCTGTCTGCTGACACCGGCGAGAGAAGACACCAAATCTAGTCGTTATGCTGTTCAACACTAGCATCGACTAGCACACAACCAAACCCTAGCTGACACCTTGCTAGTTAAATCCCAGTTGTCATCCAAATTCCACACCCACCAGTATCGCCTATCCACCCTACTCTCAGTCACCTACTCTCTAACTACCTAGAACCTATACATAAAATATAGAGCCTAGCCAATATGCTGTCCTATCCCCAATCGGCCTAAATATAACCAAACCCTAGATATTATACTACCTAAACCTGCCACCAACCAATATTAGCTACATACTCGCTTAACCAGTCATATCTCTTACTCTCCGAACAACCAAGACCCACACATGAAATATAAGTGACATTTGTTGCTTGATCCCCTTTCTATCTTAGCCTCCAACCCTTTAGAACCCAGAAATATTAGCCAATAATCCCTATACCTTTTAAAGGAGATATTTATACCCCAAACCCAGCCTTTCTCGCCCTTTATCGCTTTCTTATTATTTTGTGACTTTTATTGAATTTGGTTCTTTCTCTTCTACGTAGAGTCTGTTATATTTTGGATGGCAACCTGTGGTATTTCAAGGATCGGATAATCAGGTTGCCTATCTCGGATTTATTTGCGTTGGAGCAAGGCAAGTTATTATTCCTCTCCTTTGAGCATAATAATCCTATATTCTATATCTCCAGTATCTTGTGCATTAGCCATACATGATTTTGAATGCATAACCTGAATATATAGCAAACCAGATATATGCTAGATTTTGCTTAGCCATGCCTAGTTAGATTGCATAAAATATAATAAACTTAGATTGGAACAGTACTGTAGAAATGGTTGATTTCCGGGTGGCTAGTACTGTTCCAACCGACATAAAATTGCCAAGTACATGTGAAGAACATACGAGTACGACCGCAATTCTCGTATGGGCATAGACCTAGCTGATTAAGTTATCTAGCAAATGTGGTACCTTTGTATAGTGGTTCTTCTTAAGTCCTCGCGCAGGAAGCAAACTTACGCTGAGCAGGGCGATTGCAATATTTACCGAGGCGCAGGTAAATATTTGAGATAAATTGTGATATCACAAACTGTGTGTGTATTGTGAAAACCTGGTTGAGATGACGGGGGTCTCTCAACCAGTTCTCTTCAAAAACCTCGGGAACGCCAGAATTCCTCTCGCTGCTGATAACGCTACGTTCAGAGCGCATGGGGACTAGAGTTCATGGAACAGGTACCACTGATGTTAGTAACCGAAAAGCTTTGCCATGACAAGGCTAATGTGTTTGGCACGTCATGGATTGCGGGTAAAGCGTACATTTACTGCAGTAAAGTATAAATGAATCTATTCGAATAGCCGTGCTCACGGATTTGAGCATTGGGACTCATATGGTATTTGGTTAGAAACTTAATTCCAAACTTTATTAAATATTGTTGCATTTAAAACATTCTAGGCTTTATTCCTCTATATTCTTTGATTTCTGCAAGTAAACCTAGATCTACTCAGATATTACCATTTCATGCATTCATTATTGAATATAATAGCTTGCTGAGTACGTTGTACTCACCCTTGCTTCAACCCCCTTTTTCAGAGTCCAATTGATGTTCTTACCGAAGCTGGGAGTTCAATCATATAAGTTAGTTCCATTCTAACTTAATCCTCAAGTATAGACTAGATAAATGGTTTAAGTCTATAGCAAAATAGTAGAGTTGAGTCATTCTATAGCTTCTGTTGTATTAATTAGCCACAAATTTGTAAACACCCATAAATATTTTGTAATAACATATCCTTCGGAGTCATGTTTAAATGTATGCAATGAGGATCCAAATTGTTAAACCTGTATCAATCTACTGATCCAAGGCTTGATACAGTTTTAATATGTCGGTTTCCAAATCATTAGTTTTGGGACCCGACAACTGTGGTGGGCCAGACACTGTGGTGGGCCAGCGGCATGCAGGCGCACGGCCGCGCGCTGGGAGCGGGGCCGGGGGGAGCGCCCAATTTTGCTCCCCCCGCCTGGTCGCCCGGATAGCAGAATCCCCTTATAAATCACAACTTATAAATACCAAATATATATAAAACACCTCAATGAACATTCCGTACCAAATAGAAACTATACCTAGTATATGGCTGTCGATAGAAAATACCCTCACAAATTTCACAAACTATAGACTATTGGACTGCTTTGATACCCGTGCAGCACTCCAACCTAATATCCCTCTTCTCCTCCCCCTCTTTCTCCCCACTGCCTTCACATTTGCATTAGAATGCACCCGCCTACTCCCCACTACTGTGCCGTCTGGTCTCTCCGGCTAGCTGAAAGGCACCAGCAAGAACCCAGTCAGGCGGTATTCTCTCCTTCCCTGTCCTTCTTCTCCCCCTCTCCTCAAGCCGAGGGTGGCAAGAGTCCCAGCCCTCCAATCTTACCTGTCTCCGGTGGTTCCTCATCGCTAAATACACCACTACTACCACCTACCGCCTTCTAACCACAACTCCGCTTTGCCTTGTCAACAACAAGAGCCCACCTTTTCTCCTCCATCCTCACAACTCTAACACCCATCTTTTCTCCTCCATCCTCACAACTCTAACACCGCTGCCAACGTCTCGCAACCCACATGTGTCCACCATCCACCGCACTACCACTTCCCACGACCATCCCTCTAAACCTAGTGATCTCATCTATGTTCCTCCCCCCCCCCCAACTTCTCCTACCCCAACTCGAAACCCTAAACCCTAACTCTACTATCATTTGTTGGGTCGTAAGAAGTAGAGAAGGGGTTCCCAAAGCTATAGGAGCTGGAGTTGAAACACAAATCATGAAGCAGATCATAAGGTCACAAATCTGCGAGAAATCCCCTAAAAAATTATGTTGAATGTGATTTAGCAATTCCATACAAAATATACCTTGAACCTATCTTAAGACAATATTGATCCTATGTGGTACTCATATGGCAGCAGTTCCATCATGTGACAATCTAGATGGTTAGAATACCTCTAATCCACTATGTTCTTTCTCCTAACCCCTTCTCAAGTTCTCATCCTTTCCTTATCTCATAACTAGCCAAATACCTGCGCGTTGCTACGGGTTATTCAAAACAGCAAAAACAATTACTTCCTCCGTTTCACAATGTAAGCCATTCTAGCAATGTAAGTTATTCTAGCATTTCCCACAATCATATTGATGTTAATGAATCTAGACTGTCTAGATTCATTAACATCAATATGAATGTGAGAAATGTTAGAGTGACTTACATTGTGAAACGGAGGGAGTATGTTGTTGTTGAAAAAAATATTAGCTTCTTCATCTTAAAAAAAGATAGTATTAGTTTCCATATAGATCAATGACTCCCATCATGCTAATAAGAGATGTCTTTTGATATCTCTATCTCTACTATTAAAAAAATTGAAGATGTTTCCACCAGAATTTTAGTACGTCATCCATATTTGAGTTGATTATACGTCGTCATTATCAAATTCAACCTGATTCTAGAATAACTATTATATACTCCTATCCCAACCTAACCCCTCCCCCTCCGCCAGCCCAAACTAACCGTCCCACACCATCCCGCACGCCTCCACTGGGCACCGTGCGCGCCCCTCCCACGATCGACATCTTTTTTTTGTCGTCTTCCCTTTTTTTGTTTTCTTTTTCTCCCTTTCTTTACTCACGGTAATCCTGATCCTCTCCATTTCCTTCCAATCTCCTATCTTTTCTCCTCCTTTTTCTCTCCTCATAAATATTTTTATGCGGCAAGTTTGTTACTTCGCAAATGCTTTCCATCTATAGTAAAAAAACATTTTACAAATTGAATAATCAAATTTCAATTTTTGGTCCATGAGGTATATATATATATATATATATATATATATATATATATATATATATATGTATATATATATATATATATAAATGCACATGCACCAACTTATGAAATAGCCACCCGATCGATTTGTGAAGCTTTGGAAAGATGTACATAAGGGATTCTTCATGTGATGATGCATGCATCGAGTATAACCGGGTTCAATGTTATATATGATTTTTGACTTTGTTTGCTATTGTTTTGTTTGTCTTGTTTTGGTTTGTTGTTTAAATTGACAGAGTTTTTATTAATCGTGAAAATTTTCTTCACGTGTTGTAATACACAAGTGTATTTGCTTGTAATTATAAAATATGTACTTGTCAATAAATTGCGTTGTCTAGCTATCTCGTTTTAAATTAAAATAAAAACATAAATTTTTTTGATTTTTTAATCAAGATAACAAGAGGCAAATCAATAGAAAATTAAAGAATTGTCAGAGTAAAAGTAAAGACTGCATAGTATATACAAAATATATACAAAGGCTGACCAAACACTTACAATTTATACCTACACAATGGTCTTGCTAACCACCAGCACCATCACTATTATCTTTTAGACGTCGGTAGTATAGATGAAGACACGAGAGAACTGTGACGCACGATTGAGAAACAGACTCAGGAGATAGGGCACATGCATTGGCGTCAGAAAAGCTATGACGGATCTCCATATTTAGTGTGCTGTGGCTGTAATGGATGCATATAGTGGAGACATCCATGACACACGATATTGTACGGCCAGCGAGGAGCTTGTTCCCCTTCTCATGGCTCAGCCGTAGATTCCAGGCCAACGAAGCCTGGTGCGCACCTACACCATAGTCGTAGATGCCACTTGTTCCTCAACACCAGACCATGCTCGACAACGGCATTAACGGGGCAACACATATGCATATTAGATTTATTCTTCCATATTTTGCACAGTGGAGCATAGAGTCATTATCTATACATGAATCTTAGGGATAGGATCATGTCCCCCATCTCTGCGCGCAATATCTCCTACACTCGCTTTATGCTCCCTCCGGCATGCCGCTTGCCGTCCACAACCACGTCCCCACCCACAGTGCACGTAGGAGCCTTTTATTCCCCTCGTTCCGACCACCAACTTCTGCTGCAATACATGAGCTTGTTGGCTCAACTGCGAAGGAGCTCGTCCAGGAGGCCTAGCCCTGTAGATCCTTACCTCCCAATCCGCCGCCACAGAGCTAAATCTAAAGAACTGTGGTCTCACGTGGTACTGCAGCCTAGAGACCCTGAAGCACGAGGCGTTCTGGCCCGTTTTATCGGAGATGTTGTCCATATACGAGCATGTCCTCATTTACAACAAAGTTTCGTGCATGGATTGGCATGATACCACATATGTATCATATTGGTATATGTAGTACCACCCTGGTGTCACACATGTACCACTTGGTATAGAAAAATGCTATGCGTACGATGTTGCTGTACGATTTCAATACGATCAAACACCACACCATCCCTGTGGAAGTGAAACCAATTTTCATGTGGAACCAAAACGTAACACTGTCAGTAACGCTAGGAGAGAATCTTTTGATCGTACAAGTATAGTAAACATAAGACTGTACGTATAACGTTGCTCCTTGGTATATATAATTATGTTCGGTATCGTATTAAATCTACTCCTATTTGTACCTTACTCCATCTAAGAATTGGATTCAGCACACCTATTCTATATTACAAAAAATTTCAAATTACTAGTATTATTTTACAATGATTTGGTTTCAAAAGTCTAGTAATGCTTCGCAACTTGGCAACTCAATGCGGTTTGATTGACGTGTAGAGCAGCCATTGGCCAACGCATCGCCTTCCACGTCACCACGTCACTCCTTGCCCTCGCACAGTCGCACTAGTCCAAAATCGCCGACCCACACAACCCGCAACCCCACATCTCTCAGCCCCCGACCCCACTTCCGATCTCCACCCCCATCTCGCCGGCGATGCCGCCGCCGCCGTCGGCCACGGCGGGGCGGAGGTCCCCATTCTCCGCCCTCCTCCTCTACGTCACCTTCGCGCTCGTCATCCTGCTCCTCCTCACCTCCTACTCACCCAGCATCCCGCACCGGGGCCGCAGCCTCCACCGCCGCCTCAAGCTCCACCCCAGGAACCCCTCCCTCTCCGGGGCCGGCGCGGGGGCACCCACCGGAGGAAACGGGGCTCCGCAGAAGCAGCAGAACCACCACCACGCGGCGCCCTTCGACCCGGAGATCGCGGAGCTGGAGCGGCGGCTGGAGGACAAGGAGTGGGAGCGCGAGCACTACCGCATCCTGCACGGCGACGGCGGCGGAGGGGAGGCGGACGAGCACATGAGGGAATGGGAGGAGTTCCTCAGGGAGGACGAGGACTTCATCAACGACGACGAGCGGTTCAACCTCGGCGACCGCATCCGCGCGCTCTTCCCCAAGATCGACCTCGCCCCGCGCGACGGCTTCGCCTCCCTCGACGAGCTCACCAGGTGGAACCTCGAGCAGTCCAGAGCCGACCAGCTCCACCGCTCCGCTCGGGAGATGGAGCTCTACGACAAGAATGGCGACGGGGTTGTCTCCTACGGGGACTTCCGGGCTCAGCACAACGAATCGAGTGGTAATGTGGCAATTTTTGTTTTGGTTTTTTTATCTGTCCAGGAGTTCAAAACGAGTTCAATAAGGCTGGAAGCGAATCCATGAGACAATTTGGAGTAAGTGTTTTAATTAATGATTTGCAGGAGAGGTTAATTCGCTGGGGTTCCCATGGTGGAAAGAGGAGCATTTCAATGCTTCGGATGCAGATGGCCATGGTTTCCTTAATAAAACCGAGTTTAATGAGTATGCATTCATTTGAATTCTATTTGAAGATCATTTTTTTTATTTTGATTATTTAGTGTGCCATTAATGCTAATGTTTGAATGGTTGTGCTCCAACTTCAGCTTCCTTAATCCCAGCGATTCAGAGAATCCCCAAATTATCAATTTGCTCTGCAAACAAGAAATAAGGTGCTTAATTCTTCAACCCGATGACCGTTTCTTTTCGTAGTACTGTTTGCTTGGATAACATTCCAGAAACTCAGTAACGTACATAACCTCAATTTGAAGCCCTTTTGTTTGAGGTCTGAGTATCTGATCAGAAATCCTTACTTCCTTAGTGTTCAAAACACTATAATTGCTCTCTGATTCTAAGAACAGTTCCAGAGCTGTTCACATTTAAAACTTGGAAGCTACTATTGACAGGTAGAACTTTCCACTTTGTTAGTATACCCTTGACTCCTTACTGTTCCACTGTAAGGATCCTTAGATCATGATGAAGTAAACACCAGGATACATACAAAGCAGGTGGAGCTGGTTTCGCTAAAGAAGGGAATAGAGTAGAGACTAGATAATGGGACGGACAAAGGGGGTTGGGACTTAGATTTGCTCCATCTTTTATTACATAAGAAAGGTCCGTGTATTTAGAGCTTGTCTTAACAAATTAACAATTGGAGATAGACATTCTCAACCAGATAATATCATATCCCTCCAGGTTGCTAAATAAGATTTGCAAATAGGAGATTAGATGACAACCAACAAAGCTGCTGCTATAGTTTCATGGTTGCTGCTCAGTGCTCACACACATGACAGCTGCATTTTAATACAAGGTAGAACTTGCCACTTTGCAAGTAATCCTGAATTCCTGATGTATGACACCTAACAGAATTAAGGGTGGTAAAGGGCCCAACATTTTAGCCTAGAAAATTGGGCTGTGAAAGGACCCATGGGCCAAGCCCATTACCACCCGTAAACATAATGCTCACTCTGTTCCATATTATTAGTCATTTTGGGTTTGTTCTAAGTAAAACTTCTTCAAGTTTAATCAAGCTTATAGAAAAATGCAGCAACATTTTCAGCACAAAACAAATATACTTAAAAGTATATTCGATGGTGGATTTAATGAAACTAGTTTGGTGTTGTAGATGTTATGCTTTTCTATAAACTTGGTCAAACTTGAAGAAATTGACTTAGGACAAACTCAAAACGTCTTATAATATGAAAAGGAGGGAATAAAAAACTGAAGGAACTAAAATTTAACATGATCATGTTTATGTAGATGATATAACACTTCAAAATGAAGTGGTTAATTTGGTTCATTGAACAAGTGAATGCTGGCATCAAGGCCTTTAATATTATTGTTAATAATAATAACACTCGATCCAAGTGGAGAGACGTTCCGAAAGCATTGCTTTAAGGTCAAGAAAAGGCCCAGAAAGCCAGCTATCGCTTTAGTGAATAGTGACCTGCCACGACCATGGGGCATACACAGCAAGGGGCCTTTCTTTGCGTGATCCCAGGTTTGAGCCCTGGTTGGCAGCCTCATACCTGGAGGTCTTACCATTGTGCTATGAGCATGTTCTCCTCAAGGCCTTCAATAAAGCTATTTATCGTTGGTCAGGGCTCATGTAAATCCTTATAGCATTTATTCTTTTCTTGAGTTGTCCCATATCATAAAATTGGATAATCTCTTGTGTGTCTGTTAGAATGAACTAATCAATCAATTATTACTAACAGAATAACCCTGCTCACAAATAAAGCTCAACTCTTGCTCCGCATCATAGTACTACAATGGCCTTTTGATTAACAAGTGAACAAAGCAGGGAAATAGTGGGTTTGGGTGGGATAAGCTGGTAGGGTCTATTCCTAGTTGGTTAGTCCTAGGATGGGCCTAGGACAAGATTAAGTTGACCTGGACTGCACTTGGTTCAACAGGTCAAGTTAGTTTTGGCTTAGGTCATTGCTCAGATGGACTTGCTTTGGTTCCTGGCTGTGTGATTAAACATTTATCTCTAGATCGTTACCTAGTGGTAGTAAATACACATTTGTAATTTAATCCTTTCTAGAAAGCAATTGATCTTATACTTTTGTAATATCATATTCTTTTAAGCAACCATGTTAGATATTGGTACCCATTATTCTTGGCCTTGAAGTGTTAGCAAAGTTAAGTCTAATGTTTTTGTAGCTTTAAAATCTGCTTCCTCCTTCATATTTCATTTGAAGAAAAAAATCATGGCACGTTAACCATATTTTCACTATCTTAAATTCATTGCAATGAACATGCTAGGTTCTAGTAAACTATTAATTAGAGAATCTATTCCTCTTCAAGCCAGGGCTACTCCAAGTAACACTCCTGGGCAAGGCATGTTGCTATGGACTTCCAAACGCACATAAATATATTTTGCCTTTTCTGTAAAGTTGGCAATATTATATCACTATATGTTTCGTGGAAGGAACAGATTCCTATCATTATTTCCTTATTTGTGTGGATTGTAGGATAACACCGCAGTTCCTTGAGCTGACATTTTAAATTCCTTACATATCGTGCCATACCCAGACAGAGAGACAAGGATGGTGATGGAAAGCTAAACTTTGAAGAATATTTTCATGGGCTACATGACCATATACATGGTTATGATTACGAGAACGCAGATATTTCCCATATTGGGAACAATACAGTAGCTAAGGAGCGGTTTTCCAAACTTGACAAAGACAGTGATGGGTATGGAAGTGGAGCTTTAATTAATGACTTCCTCTGATATAATTATTTACTGAAGTATTTTCATTTTATATTTTTAAGATAAACTCTTTGCCTATGTAGGTTTATTTCAGAGCACGAACTAGAACCTGTTCTTGATAAGCTCCATCTTTCAGAACGTTATTATGCTAGACAACAAGCTGCCCATGCTATTTCAGAGGTTTGATTCTCATTGTTTTCCTGGAATTTCTACATTTTTTCTATTGTTCTTTGATATCTTGAAATCTATTTTCCCTTTGTCATGCATGTCTACAGCTTTCTATAGTTTTCCTGAACATAGCAGTAGATGAACTTTTAGTCTTTAATAGGTTTGACATGTCCTGATTTGATATTGTCAAAACCTAATACAGGCTGTAACTATCTAATCTCAGTATAGTGGGACATAAGAATACCCTATTAAATAGGTGTATAAGTTGCCCGTCCACCGCAAATCATTTGCTTTTCATTTTATAGTATCATCCAGAATTCAATAAATCTAGTTTTTTATGCATAGAAAAAATCACAGATAATCTGAGATTTTTTTTTATTTTGAGCCTTCTTATTTAAAATTTCAAAAACAACCTATTTTGAAAAATACACCTTTTGTCACACGTGGAGGGCAAATGTTGCTACTCCATGAATAGTGGAGATATATAAGGTACTGTACCGACTCTTTTCATGCCATATCAACCCTGATTTACCACATCAGTATGACTCTATGAGCGGCATGACCAAATCTTTGCCACACCAAGGTTTTTAACCCATGCTTCAGCATTGTGCTGCCACACTAATGAGAATGAAGAAGCTAAAGGTTTAGATATGTAAATAATGTTTCGGTAGAGTTCAATTGTCAAATATATTAAAAAGTTAAAAAAAAACTCGATAATCTGTCGTGGTTCCTGTTTGCACAAGGTTGTCCAAAAGTTTGCCTGTGAAAAATCTCAATGTATTATGTGCTTTCCTCTGATGCATGATGTGTCTCTTGTTCCCCGAGGATGACATGTTCAATTGGCTAATCCAAAAATTGCAGGCTGACAAAGATCATGATGGAAGACTAACTTTGGATGAGATGATTGAGAACCCGTATGCATTTTATGGCAGCGTCTTCCTTAGCGACGACGAAGACTATTTTCATGATGAATTCCGCTGAGGTGTCTGCAGGTGACTTGCATGCATCTGATGCACACCATACCGAAAATTGTTTTGCAGCTAGTATTCATTCAAATATTCTGTCCACAGATTGTTGGTGTTGCAAGTATGGTTTGCGGATCGATCCAAGATGCTTTCACCATCAGACTGAATGATCTAGGAGCTGCTAACCACACAAAAAGAGAACTTCAGCTGTTTGGTACCCTAGAGTTCTTTCTATCAGGTACTCAGGTGGAGCACCAAGCTGGCTAATGCCAGCGATATTAGGTTACATACATGCCAACTTGCCTGCCTTTATTTAGGGTGAGCCGCTAACCTGACCTGACATATGTTGTGTATTATCTCATCAGTTTTGTAAAATGCAATGGATGGAGTCTAGGAGAGCAATCATAGTAGAATGGACATGACCAGACCAGTGAGCTAATTGTGCCTTTCTTCTTTCTTTTTTTCTGAAGTGTGAGCTAAATTATGCCTTCCTTGTTGAAACATAATGACTGGATTGCTGATGGCGCTCCGACCGACAGTTTTCCTCGGCGCATGAGTGCGTCGTGGACGTGGAATGATGGAATTATTGTAGTTGCGTCGATCACATGGAAATGCATTATTCGGGACAGTCTACCCAACGTGTCGTGTCATGTCATGTCCATCGTGTCGTGCCATGTAGTACTAAGGTCCTGATCGATGGCATATATGACATGCTCCGATTCCAGGTGTTCTTGCTCGAAGTGTTGGGTTCTTTTTTGCATAAATCGAATTAGAGCATTCCTCTGGAGACACCAAACTAACACAAGGGATTAAGTTAAAGCAACCTTTGTATTATTACCATTATTGGGTTGCTTGTGAAAGCTTTAAACTCAGTTGAAAGGCACGTACTCGTGCGTGTTTGTGTTGGTCAGTAGGTGTGGTGTGTGTAGATGCGTTTTCTATGTAGCTTGTAGCTGTGAATTCTTTTGGAGTACTTATATGACATCCGACATTTTTTTGTCGAAAAACTTTAAATGCATAGTTAGAATGTAATTGCATACTTATAATTTGTATGTAACTACTATAAGATCAACAAAAACCTGGTTGCTGGCTAACGCAATTTTCGTTCACCCAAGAGGTTGCGGGCTCTCACTCTCCAGCCGGCATAGCGATGTATAGTGGCGGACCCAGGATAAAAATATAGCTATGGCGAAGACAAACGAGTTGATTCAAAGCATTTTGGCCCTATTTAGATCCCACACCAAAATTTTTCACCCTGTCACATCGAACGTTTGAACACCTGCACGATGTATTAAATATAGACTAAAAAAATAACTAATTGCACAGATTGCGTCTAATTTGCGAGATGAATCTTTTAAGCCTAATTGCTCCATGATTTAACAATGTGGTGCTACGGTAAATATTTGCTAATGACGGATTAATTAGGCTTAATAAATTCGTCTCGTGGTTTACTGATGGATTCTGTAATTAGTTTTTTTATTAATACCTGAGCATCCCATGCGACACCCTATATAACACCTGATATGACACGCCAAAAGTTTACACCCCGGAATCTGAACACCCCCTTCATTCCAATCAAAGAAAAAACGTAAAAATGCCCACATTGCAGTCACGAAATACCTCATTGAAGCGATGGTTCATCTGGGAAGCTGGGGGTGGGGGTATTCGCGAAGAAGGTTAGCTATCGCATGCGCCACAGCATGCCAAAGTGGTAGGTCCGCTCCTGGCGATGATAAAAAAACACCTCTGGGAAGTTGGGGGTGGGGGTATTCGCGAAGAAGGTTAGCTATGGCATGCGCCACAGCATGTCATAGTGGTAGTTCCACCCATGGCGATGTAAAAAGAATTGTTCATTCCCTTGCATGAATCTCCACGCGATCTAACAGTCCACAAACTGAATGTTTTGGGAAAAAAATGTCAACAGTTTTTTAGCACATCTTCTTTAAAATTAAATTACACTTTGCCATATTAAAGTTTCACTTCAAACCACCTTAAAAGTATCTATTTTACTTTGGACTAGGTATTTTCAACAAAAAGTTAAACTTTAAACCGATGACCAATATATCAATGAGACTAACCATCTCTGGTGTCCGTGTCTCACTTATATATGGGCCACTTGGACATAAGGTACAAAGTGCAACACTGGCAACAATACGTAGCTACTAGTCCCAAGTGAAAAAATATTTATGTAGCTAGTCCAAAGTGAAAGAAAAAACATTTCAAGAGTGGTACTTCCTCCGTTTCACAATGTAAGTCATTCTAGCATTTTCCACATTCATATTAATGTTAATGAATCTAGACATATACGTTTCACAATGTAAGTCATTCTATCATTTTCCACATTCATATTGATGTAAATATGTCTAGATTCATTAACATCAATATGAATGTGGAAAATGCTAGAATGACTTACATTGTAAAATGGAGGGAGGAAAAAGTAAAACTTTAGCAAGAATATATATCCCCTAAATCATAATTTACTCTCTTTTCTTACATCATTGTGCACTATTTCTTATGTATTTTGGTATCAGTTTTATGTTTTGGAACTAATTACTACCCCCGTTTCAGGTTATAAGACTTTCTAGCACTGTCCATATTCATATAGATGTTAATGAATCTAGGCACACATACATATATGTCTAGATTCATTAACATATATATGAATGTGGATAATGTTAGAAGGTCTTATAATATAAAACGGAGGAAGTAGTTATTAAGTATATACATTAAAGGTTTGTTGTTTGACAATGAAAGTTTCATCGGATCTTATCTAAAGTGTCAAATATTTACGACCTGAGGGAAAAGAGAGAGTAAGGATCTACTCTCTCCATTTCACAATGTAAGACTTTCTAGCATTGCCCACGTTAATAAAGATATGAATGAATCTAAATATTTATATGAATATGGGTAATGCTAGAAAGTCTTACATTTTGAAACGGAGGAAGTAGCTAGTTTAATTCGTTTCGATCGAGCTTCAACATTCGTAGGGGAGAGACGTACACACGACCGGTTCCGGCGATGACGACGCTGGCGTGCACATGGAGCGAAGGGCAAGGCGTACGTACGTACGTGCGAGACCGGACCATACATATGCCCACATGTGATGCTAGTCTTACCCCAGCTGGCTCTCACCATGCAGAGCTGCTGCCCTGCAGCTTGCTTGCTTGCTCTTCTCTATCCATCAAACAGACACTTGGCCAAGTGTGAGGTCAAGTGTGTGTGCATGCAGCACTGTCAATGCTGACACATAGCCGTACGTATTTTAGTGGCTTTCTGAAGGCATTTTACTAGTATATCCGACTTTTAGGGTCAGCTGATACTATTGTTCATGTATAGTGTCTTCAACAGGACTCAACCAATTAATATCCCTTCTCTTCTTTTCGAGAGAATTAATATGCCCCCCTCCCAACATACTTCCTCCGTTTCACAATGTAATTCATTTTAGTATTTCTCACATTTATATTGATGTTAATGAATCTATACCACATTTATATTATGTCTATATGTCTAGATGCACGGTGTAATTTTGGCTCAGCTTTGTGGCCCAGCTGTTGATGCACGGTGTAATCAATATAAATGTGGTATAGATTCATTAACATCAATATAAATGTGGGAAATGCTAAAATGAACTACATCGTGAAACGGAGGGAGTACCTCTCTTTCTCTCTCGCTCTATTCACAAGTGTATTATAAAATAAAGTGTAAACCTAGAGTAGCTAGTACTCTTTTAATTGTGTCGTGGTACCACTTAGATCCATAATCTTGTGAATCATATATTTGGAGCCGTAATCTTGACTTAATATATCATGGTACATAGGGCTAAAAACTAAAGCACGACTGACTGGCTACGACCCCTGACATGGCAATCCACCGTGGCTTCACATTTGCAATAAGTCACCTCCATGCTCCCTCGTGTGGCTATCAAACTGAAGAAAAGGAAATGATCCTATATTTATAATATCTGCTAACCTAATGTTTTGATCGTATACATGAGAATACAATATACAACATACTTTTCATAATCTAGTCACGGTGGACGAATTTATTCATCATCTGCCTCGCATAACATATTACAGCAGGTGTTCATTTAGCCTAAAGGTCCCTCTGCGTTAGCAACATACGGGTGCATCTTAGGATATGCTTGTAGACAAATATGTAAGACACCTCCACAAATAATTTTCTGTAGCGTGCACTCCAAATTTAAGAAATAAAAAAGTTGTAATAAAGAAAACGATCGACATTAATTCATCTTTCAATGATATGTGTAACTACATACGTTAGGATTGAGATCAAATACAGTTCCACTAGGGACCGCAAGATAACGATTGCACAAGATCTAATCTTGGCTATCTATCTTTTCTATGGAGGGTTTAGATTTAAAGCTACAGTAAAAACCTTTTTTTTTTCAACGATATCTCGAATGATTTAATCATTGGATTTAAACTGGACATCCTAGTGTGATTGCTTAACTTGCAGTCGCACTGGCTAGAGCTGGGACTGCAGGTGAACCGGCCGGATCCCATGCATTGGGTTGGGGTTGGTCCCAAAGTCCCAAGTCCCAACCGTCCGGCAAATGCATGCATGTACAACAGTGCAACTAGCCAAGCACAGTACGTCCCACGTGTGCGGCAGCATGCATGCATATGCTTATGCATGTGTGATCAATAATGTTTTCCATTGGCCCTGGAGCTCAGTACGATGTATACACGCGTATTTATCTCATGTCACAGCTGAAGAATGCATCTATACTCTCCGGTTCGTAACTTCTTTAATTAATCTTGGATATGTAACCGAAATCCGAATCAAGAAATAAAGATGCATATCTTTACTCCCGGTTATCTCTAAAGATGATAGCGCCACGTGGCTGACGATGTCATCTTTAGTCTTTTTTTATTGTTTTTTATATATTGATTTCTAACCAAACTCAACAATAAAATCATCAACATTCACATAAACATCACAAAATTGTCCACATCCACATTCATAATTCATATCACAAATTTACATATTAAAAGACATCATAAATCAACAAATTCATAGATAAATCAACAAAATCTAACAACTAAATCAACCGGGGCTGGCTCCTGCACAGGCCGCCGCCCGCTGCACGTAGGCCTGAGCAGGCTGCCCCCTCCTCCAGGCTGCTGCTGCTGCAAGAAAAAGAAAAGGAGAGGATAAGAGAGAGGAAAGAGAGAGTCGAGAGAGGAGAAAAGAGAGGAGGAAGTTAAAAAATGAGGATGAAATGTTTGTGATCCAGAAGGAGAGGATAAATGCGAGGGATTATATATGAAGCATTGAATTTTAATCCTGGTTGATAATACCAATACTAACCAGGGCTAAAGATAATAAGGGGCTGGACGTTTTTTGAACCTGTAGGACTAAAAATGATCTTTAGTCCTGATTGATAACACTAACCGGGACTAAAGATTATAAAAGTGACGTTGGCTTTTCAACCGGTTACAGGAACCGGGACTAATGTGGTTTTTAGCTAACCCAGCAAAGATTGTATCTCCAGTAGTGTATACATGTGCAACATCTTATATCTATATGACTCCATCTGTGTGAAGCATGCAGCGCTGTCAGCTATAGCTAGTAGTAGTACCATACTACCATTATGTTTTACGTTCGTTTGCTTGCTCGTGCATGCGACTTGTGCACAACGTACGTACTCCACTGAACTGATCAACACACACCTCAGCCGTTCTGCGCGCAGGACTACTATATACTGCGTGCATGTCAGAGGAGCGCGTTGTCCAGATCACATGCAAGCGAAAGTCGTCCTCCTTCTGCCCCCCTCCTCCCGGATCAGGCTCCTTTACCTTCAAATACATTTAACTTTATCACTTATATATGGACCCGATGAACCCTGAACCTATCTGTCAGTAACAAAGGTATGGTGTCTGTGAAGGAAGAGGATCTCAATCCCCTCCTCCCACCACGCATTTACCTGGGTAACATATACGTAATCATTATCCAACAATCTAATATGTTATCCTCGATCACACTTATAGGCTAGATATCTTTATTTATATATATGGGTTTGATCAGTGGTATATATGTTACTAGCTACTCCCTCCGTCCCAAAATATAAGCAATTTTGGACTCTGACATGGTCTCCGAAATGTTACTTTGACTAATAATATATATAAAAGTAAGATGTTTTAAATAAAAAGAGTTACATATTATGATAGTTTGTTTAATAATAAATCTAGTAACATGAATTTTACATGATTGATTTTTTTTCTATTAATAGTCAAAATTAAAAATGTTTTGACTTTACTATGCTAAAAATATTTATATTTTGGGATGAAGGAAATAGTTATTAGTAGAATAGGTGGGGGTCTTTTTTTTTTCTTGAATCGTTAATTTGGGCATTTCATACTATAATTAATAGAAAAAAAATTATAGTTTTGCTACATTATTCTTGCTCGGACATATAGTCTTTGAAAATGCACAGTGAAAAACATTCACTTCCAGCAAAATATGTGCGAAGTCACCTATATATGAATATATTACGTATATATATGCAATATGCCAGTACATTTACAGCAGGAATTTGGCGGGACGAAGGATTTACCACCAGTCCGGTAGTAACTGCACAAGCATGCGTGCAGTACATACTGTACATGGTCTGTTGCCGACACGCCCGGGAATATCCTGGACATGTTCCTGCAGTCACCGCGTGCACGTACGCTTGCGTGTGTGTACCATATCCCCGCTGGGCGGCTGGCTAGCTCTCCTCCCTTCCCCTCCCCATTCCATCCCACCCCCACTACTGTCCCTAGGCCGGCGCTCCTCACCACGTTTCTTAGAAAGCTACCGTGATATCCACGGTCACTCTATCGGTATCCTCTACTGTAACAATTGTATTATATCGGGAGACAGTCTGCATCACTATGGGTAGCGCGGGTGGCGGAGTGGCCGACTAGGTTTGTCCTCATTGGTCATCGCCATGAAAAATGAGGAGTCGAGGTTACACGGGATAGTGTTGACGGCAGTGGATGAGTCCATTGATTCGGATGGGGGCGGAAGTTTGATCTGTTTTTAGGCGGTTACAAGATGGTGTGGAGAGAGAAACGTCAAATTTGGAAGTAGCGATGACGTATCTACTAGAGCCCATTTTTCTCCTTCGGTATGCTATTTTCAAGATTGCGTGTGTGACAGATGAGCTATTGGGAATGCTCTTATGTAAACGTAGATGCAAGCCATGCTTTAAGTGCGCATACATGTGTACCTCTTCTATATACACTAAAGGGAATTAGCATTCATGATAACGAGTCATAACCCACATTTATGATGGCTATTGGTTACTCCCTCCGTCTCAAAAAAAAAAGCAAACCCTGGGTTTCCGTGTCCAATTTTGACTGTCCGTCTTATATGATTTTTTTATAATTCATATTTTTATTATTGTTAGATGATAAAATATGATTAATATTTTATGCGTGACTTGTCTTTTTAATTTTTTTCATAAATTTTTCAAATAAGACGGATTGTCAAATGTTGGACACGGAAACCAGGGTTTGTCTTTTTTTAGACTGAGGGAGTACATAACAGATCAATGGTCACCGATGAGAATACCTCATTCCTATGACAAGTCAACACCCATTAATGATGATAGACAATTGTGACGAGTAGTAATTAGCACACTTCACATATGAGTGCACCACCCTGTCAGATATTAGACTGACCTCAAACAAGTTGAAGTAGTGAATCATCATACATGTAGAAAATCAACCCAAAACATCTTCATTATCAGCATCAAGATGACCAATTCTATAGTAGTGATACTACTACCTCAGTTTTCAAATACATATAAGCTTGTTTAACTTTCAAACATACTGTTTGACCATTTATTTTTATTGAAAACACTATGTAAATGTTATTTATTTTACTATGACATTATTATTATTAAAGGTATTTTATATACGATATATGTTTTACATTTGTATTTTTTCAATAATAGGAATAGTCAAATATATATATATTTGGAAACAGATAAGGGAGTAGTAATTGTCCAATTTGCAGCTAATTGGCACGTGTGCATATATACGCATGATATTGGTAGGATCGCTAAATCACATCGCTACAAATGGGGCCTCTATGCTTAATTATGGGAGTAGATATAGTACTGGCTAGCTATAGTAACAGTGGTTGGTAGGTAGCTTTGATATGTACGTATAGGACACACGACAGACATTTCTCATCAGTGGAAAACAGATTATAGTGGGGATGTTGGAGAACCTTCTGCTTAATTATTATGTACCCATTATGTCCCTTTTCTTTTGTTTAATTCTGGATATTTTCTGTGGATATATCCTTATGTTTTTTTTTTGTTTTCTTGTGCAGATCTATATATAATGCCAAACAAATAACAAAGGGTTATATATATCAAACAATTAATATATATGAGTTGAGACGAGATTATGGTTCCAAATGGCAAATAACATTTCAGGCTTATTCGCTTTGTTCCCAAATTAACCTTACCAAATTTTAACAATGTTAATTTTTGGTGTTGCCAAATTTTGGTAAAGTTAGATATATTTAGTTTGATGCATCCTAAAATTTAATAGCGTTTTTATTAGAGGAAAGTTCTGCAATTGGGTAAGATCATGTTTAGGTTGTCACCGTACTGAAATTTGATAACACCAAATTTTTGGTATGATAGGAAGTGACAATGGTGAATATGCTCTTCTTTTTTCCAAATAATATTTCTCTTAACAACCATATCATATATGCTTGGATATGGTTGTGACATCCTGGCCCAATTAGGATGAGACATGTGTGGCCCGTGAGAGTTGTATGTGCATATTTAGTACCACCTTGCTACTTTAGAAAGGGTGAAACCAATTTATAAGGTATTTTCCTTCCAACCGTATCACTCCCGGGTTAACCGTTTTATATGAAACGAGGATAAAAATGTAAGTGGGGTGGTATGCGTAAGTGAGCCAGCCCTGGGCTGGCTACGCGGTTCTGGAGGGAGGGCTGTTATGCAGTTGCACGTATGGATATAGTGCCGGGTTCTGGAGGGAGGGCTGTTATGCAGTTGCACGTATGGATATAGTGTCGGCACTGTGTGTACAGATGTGCACTAAGAGGGGGCTTGTTCCTGTAATACCCCGAGTTTTGAATTTCTAGAGGGAGGGCTGTTACAAACGCTATTATAGCCGAGTTTTTTATTTCCCTCGCAGTTGCGTATGGATATAGTGCCGACTGGAGGGAGGGCTGTTACAAACGCTATTATAGCCCGAGTTTTGAATTTCTAGAGGGAGGGCTGTTACAAACGCTATTATAGCCGAGTTTTTTATTTCCCTCGCAGTTGCGTATGGATATAGTGCCGACTGGAGGGAGGGCTGTTACAAACGCTATTATAGCCGACCCTCGCAGTTGCGTATGGATATAGTGCCGGCACTGTATGTACATACGTGCGCTAAGAGGGGGCTTGTTCCTGTAATACCCCGAGTTTTGAATTAGTGTATTTCAGGAAATATTAAAACAAATGCGCAAAAGTTCAACTTTTAAACCATTGTTGGAATAGGCAATGAGGAAATGTGGATGCGTATAGCTCGTCGAGTAGTGCGAAGTACACTATAAGTTTGCAGTAATCAGAGTCCAAACAAAGTTCCGTTGATTGAATCGTAATACCCCGAGTTTTGAATTAGTGTATTTCAGGAAATATTAAAACAAATGCGCAAAAGAGTTTTGAATTATTGTATTTCAGGAAATATTAAAACAAGTGTGCAAAAGTTCAACCTTTAAACCATTGTTGGAATAGGCAATAAGGAAACGTGGATGCGTATAGCTCGTTGAGTAGTACGAAGTAGACTATAAGTTTGCAGTAATCAGAGTCCAAACGAAGTTTCGTCGATTGAATCGACGTGGACCGTTTGATCTCCTTTCTAGTCTCTTTATATACCTACAGATAAAAAAAAGAAAAGAAAAGTTCTAGTCTCTTTATATACCTACATATAAAAAAAAGAAAATAAAATGGAAAAAAAAAGGAGAGATCGAGAGCCTCTACAACCCTAGCCGCCACCGCTACTGCGCCCTTGTCGCCGCTGCTATTATCCCTGTCGCCGCCACCACAGCCGTGGCCGGCCATCGTCATCCGTCGCCACCGGTGATCCCTTTCTGTTTTTTTCCTTCCCGGTGAGCTCTTGCTGCTGTCGACCTGATCTGTTCCTGCTGTGTGCTTTGGTCCCTGCTGCTACTACTAACGTTCATTGCTACTGCTGCTGCTACTGGGTGGTATGCCACTGTTGCTTCTACAACGATCAGAGGGGAGAAGGTTCAGAGGGCAGAGGAAGAAGGAGGATTAAAGAAGAAAAAGAGAAAGAGAAGCAAAGTTGGGGATTTTCTGGGATTCCACAAATTCACCTCAAATTTGATTTTCTCCTCTATAAGGGTAACTCCTCTTAATCCATGGAAGTTCAATTTTCACGTGGGAATCGATTCGATTGCCGGTTGGGTGTATTTAGTTGTTGTTTATGGGCTAAAAATAGTATTTTCCAATCTGGTATTAAACCATTGTGATTCAGGTTAGTTGTCCTAAATAAAGTTTGTAGTCATCGTCGATATCTTTCTAACGGTGCTGGTTTCACTCGATTCTGATAAGAAACAACCAAAAAAGTACTGCTGACCAGGTCCGGAAACCAGGACAACAATTCATTTTCCTTTATATGGGACTTACATAGGCTTAATCTGATTTTTCACCCACATGAAAGTTGTAGAGAATTTTGTTTAGATGTCTAAAGTGATATCGGTTGCTACTTTTTGTTAGGCGCTTTGTGAAATATGTATATAACATTGTATAGGTAGTATAGGTAGTTTTATGTAGGTACCGTCCCGGTTGACAGATAAATTTTGGTTTTGATCTTTCATGATGTTTTGTACATGTATAGATAGTCTCAAGGATTCCTCAATAGAGGTTTTACTTGTAGCTTTACTCCACAGGTGTGGAGAGATCTGGTGTGGAGGGGGTTTCGTCGGGTTGCCGTCGAGGTTAAAGGCAAGTGTATGACGAACAAATTATGTGTTTCTTGGATTGTTTGCTCCACCTATTTATTTTCAATATATTTCTATGTTATATGTGATTGCATATGTTCAGATTATTGTTCATGATATTTATATTTCAGGTTTATCTTATGTTCACAATGACGTTATTCTTGTTTCAATATTCTGGATTCTGGTTCTGGTTAAATAACTCAATTTCCATGCTTGCCATGGATGTGCAATTTAGTTTCAATTTGCTTTTTTGTTTCTAGTTTCAATTATTCATGTTCCATGTGAGTCATGGATATGCTATCTGGTTTTATATTCATGTTCCTATAGGTAATTGTTGATCAAGCTTACTCGGCTTTGCCGGCAAATGCTAGGATGTATTCACAGTTGTCCAGGATGGGAACTACTATTTCAATTCATGTCTGTTCGGGATGGGAACTATTAATTTTCTTTAACATGGTGTTTGAAACCGTGTTTCTTTTCAAAGAAAGAAAGTTTTATGTTCAGGCTTTATTGCCAATGATGTGTATATGTGTTTTCTAGTTCCATATTGTACTTGCTAAGTATTTATGTACTCACTCTTGTGTTTATTTGGTTTTAAGTACACATTGAGATCAGTATGTATGGGCGGAAAGTAGCACCCTTATATACACATCTATCTACACACTATCAAATTATATTGCTTAGGTCCATAATGACACTTAAACTATATCCTGGTTTTGTCTTGTAATATTCATTTGGATATCTATTAGTTTCTTTCTATGGATTATATGAATAGATAGCACTGTGGGAATAATATTATTATTAGTTTATCTTATAACTGCCTATCATGGATGTCCGTATCTATAGGAGAGACTCTGCCGAAATTTCTAATAATTTTAGGAGTTAGTAGTTTTGAGTGTATTTTGGTGTGGCACTCTGGGTACGTGGTTACCTAGGGTGTTACAATGGTTGCCATTCTTATTCCCATAATCCCGTCTCCATTTTGGTACCCTCTAAAAACAGTTCAGAATAAGAGTATTGTTAGATAAAAAAAAGTGAATATTAGGGAAGAAATTAATATCAAATAAATAGAAGAGGTGTGGCTTTGAACCCAGACCAATTAGCCCATCACCTTGTGGAGCTAGCCGGAAAACCCCTGGGTGTTTCTTGAGAGTATTGTTAGGGATGAGTTGTTAAAAGATTAATTAGTATAAGAAATTAGTACGTGTAGAAACTTTTCCTTCTTTTAAATGGGTACCGCTAGTAGCTATAGCTTCCATTTGATGTACGTAGCTATTTTTTTTTTAGAAAAAGGCAAAGCCCATCTTTCATTCAAAGCTATAAGAGTTCAGAATACAAAAGTAACATAAGATAATCGGCTGGGAAACAACCAGCTAGGCGAACATAAGCATCATGGCTGCTGGCTCAGCCCAAAAACAAGCCAGGGAAAATTACCAAACATCTGGAAAGCTCCCTACCAAGACTACCAAACCCAGCAAAGCAAATCACGAAGTCACGGCGCTACTACACTTTTCAGGCATTTGAGCTTGCTATCCTTCTGATGCTGGCAAGTAGTAAGTCCCGCGAGGTATCCAAAGAGCTTCGAGTCTTCACTAGTGCTAGTTTTCTCCGCTGGAGATGAAAAGAGACAGCTTTGTAAGGCAAATGGGTTGCATTAGAGATCAGTTTATTATTAAACACCCAATCATTTCTAATGAGCCAAATGGCCCAGGCCCCTGCTGCAAAAAGAGAAAGTAGAATCCTATTTTCATCGCAACTTTGCATCTTAAGCTTATCAAGGAGCTCCCCTCTTGTTCTGGGTATACCAGCCCACCCAAACGCATCTCTAAAGCAACACCACATGAACTTCGAAATTGGGCAATTAAACATAAAGTGATTGACATCCTCCAACTCTCCACATAGTTTACAATAAGGACTGCCCTTCCATTTCATCTTTTTTAGTTGGGAAGCCGCTTGAATTCTCCCTCTCAACATGAGCCAAAAGAAGATTTTTATTTTCAAGGGTATGGGAGTTCTCCACAAATCTTGCATAATGACATCTCTAACACCCCCAAAGGCTAGCTCTCTGTATAGAGATTTTGTTTTATAGATACCATATTTGGTCAACTTCCAACACATAGTATCATTATCTGAGTTCAGCTGAATCTCATCCAATAAAGTATGTAAATCATTCCATTCTGTCATCTCTCTTCCCCCTAAATTCCTCCTTATGTTAATTGTCCACTCTCAATTAGGACACATCTGGTAAACAGTCTTTTTCGTATCGGCACAAATGCTATAGATGATAGGGAATTGAGTTTTTAAAGGCACATCTCCCAGCCAAGTATCATCCTAGAAACTAACAGCTTTACCATTTCCAATCTTATAAGACCTTCCCAATTTCATCCAATTCTTCACCTCATGCAGCCCTCTCCAGAATTGTGAACCCCCCTCAGTCCTTGATTGATAAAACCCCCCACCATTAGACATATATTTTTTCCGGAGTAAATCACAGCAGGGATCCTCCACCCCAGATTCAAGTTTGAAGATCCATTTGCAAAGCAGTACAACATTCATTATTCTTGTATTGATAAAGCCAAGCCCCCAAAGTCTTTGGGCCTGCAAAGGGCCTCCCATTTCATCATGTGGTATTTTTTTCTTCCTCTCTAAACCTTCCCAAAAGAACCTAGCTCTAATTGAGTCCATTTTCTGGTGCACACTCTCAGGCATAAGATAGACTCCCATCATATACAAAGGGATACTACTCACACAGGAATTAATCAATATTGCTTTCCCACCATAGGATAGGTGTCCACATTTCCAAGTGGCCAATCTTTTCTCTATCTTATTGGGAGGTATACTAAAATCAGCAACTGTCAATCTATCAATCGCAATTGGAATACCAAGGTATGTAATAGAGTTCTGTAAATTTGGTACGTTTAGCCATTTCCTTTTAAAACCAAATCATCCATGCATGCTAAGGCACATATCTTTTTGAAACGTATATCTGATAAGTAAAATATTAGAGGCGGACTTTTGGACGTCATTTAATTTCATTTCTCTAATCAATTATATTTAAGGAGGATTTATTTCAAATCGTTATCTGATAATTAACATGCATGTGCCATGTACGTTACTTCCCACATAAATCCAAATTCATATTTGTCTCTTCAAAAACATATACAGTATAAATTAATTCGATTTTTCTTGCGCGGCTTGTGAATAACTTCTCTGAAATGGCTAGCTCTCTCCCTCTCCTACATGTGTGACCTGTTGTACGATATGACAAAACATATTTATCACGCTTTATTAATTAGCGATATATATGCCGGCCGCGCGACGCATCCAACAGTGCACGAGTGTGGTACGAATTAACGTACGTACGTACATGTAGCTCGTGTCCGTAGGCAGGGCAGGCACGTACTTTCACGCCACAGAGCTTACACGTGCTCCCTCCGTAAAAAAAATAATAAAAAAAAGACAACCCCTGGGTTTCTTATTTTAAAAAATTATAAAAAAAAATTAAAAAGACAAGTCAAGTATTAATTATATTTTATTATCTAACAACAATAAAAATACTAATTATAAAAAAATTTTATATAAGACGGAGAGTCAAACATTGGACACGAAAATCCAGGGTTTGTCTTTTTTTGGACGGAGGGAGTACGCGTTATAAATTCATCGTGGACGTTGCGTACTTGCTAGACCACCGGTCAAACATCACACCTACTACTCCCTCCGTTCCAAAATATCTATAAAAGTAAGATGTTTTTATTCTGATACGGTCTTCGAGATGCTACTTTAACCAACAATATTTATAAAAGTAAGATGTTTTAAATAAAAAGAGTTACATATTATGATAGTTTATTTAATAATAAATCTAGTAACATCAATTTTACATGATTGATCTTTTTTTATTTTTTTTTTGTTATTAATGGTCAAAGTTAAAAATGTTTGACTTGTCACTATGCTAAAATGCTTATATTTTAGGACGGATGGAGTAGTAACTAAAATTGTCAACCAAAATGCTCTGCGGAACTCAATTAATAAATAAGTATTTTTTTTTCTTTTGTCTATGAACAGGAAAATAATGAAAGAGATTATAACATTTTATCATGAGAGCTAGACGTATAAAATTAGATATGGCAAAAATACAAAGTGAGTGTAGTTAATTGATTAGATATGTTTCTTGTTGTGACCTGTTCAAGTCTTAGAATTGGCATAGTGCTCATATTTATGGTTAATCATCATTTAAATTGTAGCCAATGTATCCTTGGCAACGAGACATTTATGGTGACTTTCTTAATATTAAGATATGTTGGCTCAGTCACATGTGACTTTGTCAATTTTAAGATATGCTAGCTCAGTGTTTCAGATATGTTATAGGGGTAATTAGATTGCGAATAGACAAGGCCAAATCACGAAATCCTATTAAAAGGGCATCCACTCTTAAAGAGAAGAAGACCAATAGCAAATTAATCCTCCGCCTCGCAAATCCTATTAAAAGCATACTAGCCTATTAAAGGCATACTAGCGTAATGCTTAATATTGATGGGTACGTATATAAGATTTGAACCCTAGTAGATTCTCGAGAAGAGGAGGCTCGAACCCAGACCGAAGACGTTTTATTAATATTACTTATTTATAAAAATCATTGGCACCAAGCTTTTTTTTTTCCAGAATTTAATTATCATGTCCTCGAAGTGGTGCGGTCAGAGCAATATATCTTAATTATTGGAAAAAGTTTTACCTTTAGGGCGGGTTTAGTCCCCAACTTTTTCTTCAAACTTTTAATTTTTCATCACATTAAAACTTTCCATCATATCGTTCCAATTTCAATGAAAGTTCCAATTTTAGCGTTAACTAAATACACCCTTAATCTAAGGTTTGGAATGTCAAGCTAGCTAGGTCCAATATATTTTAATTTGCTGCAGAGAGCATGCATTACGCTATATATATGCTCGTTGTCATGTCTTTGTCACGGCCTAACATGCATATACATTAATTAGGACGCCTGTGTGAAGGTCTTTGTTTTCGCGAAACAACAGTATAAGCACTGTGGATAAGGAACAATGAGTTAATATAGCTCGTGCACGATCGTCCCTATTAATTGGAGAAGGTTAAGTATACATCAGTTGATCCTTTTTGTTTTGACGTTCTGTCGTACGTTGACCCAATTGGATATTTGGATCGATAGAGCTACTCTATCTGGGTTAATAATACTCGTTTTTTAACAAGAGCACGGTCTATATAAAAAGTAACTTTGACCAATATTTTTTATTATAATATGTATAAAAGTGTTAATAAATATATGATTTTATTAAAATATTTTTTAAGACTAATCTATATATGTAGTCACCATATTTGAAAGAAAAATATTTTAAAAATAATTTATAATCAAATATTCTAAAGTGTGATACCATATTTGTCTAAAACGATAAGTATTATCAGCTCTGAGGGCGGAGGGAGAATATATATTAGTATAAAAATTAGATCTAGTATATGCATGATCATCCCTTTGTCTTTGCATATACTAGATCGCATCTCTTGACTAGTGGTAAATTTATTTCCCCTGTACTTTGGATTATCAAGGTACTACCTCCATTTTAAAATGTAGGCAAAATTTGATACGAGACACCCAAAAATCGTGTAATTGGCTGTGAGACACCGCAAAATCGTGACGCTGTTTATGGACACTACGAAAGTTGTGAAATTGGTTGTAGGACACTGGAGGCAATATTTTATAA